TGGGCACGCACACACATGCGCTCGGCGTGAGTTTTAAGCCACCGGGTCCGGGACACGAACTGCGGTCGACTACGTGGGAGTCCAGCGACATAGCCATTATGCTAACTGCTGGTTCCACACTTTCCATGAACTTTTTGAAGTACCCTTGTATGAAATACTGGGAATAATTCTTAGATGAATGCCTTGGGGGACTAGAACTGGGGCAGGTTGGGGGGAGCTATGAGGTAGGAGCTGATACTGCTGCTTGTCTCAGGAGTCTACACTCAACGAGACACGAGGAGACCCAGTACTGACATCCTGCAACTTCCAAAGCTGTGCACGGTCCAGAAGGTGACAGTGAGCCCCAGCCCGGGACTGCCGAAGGCTCCCAGCTGCACAGGCGCACAGAGAGCTCTCTGCCTTAGGTAGAAACCCAGAATCGGGAAGGGCTTAGACAGAGATCTGAAAAGGGACGACGGCCTTGAACTTGAATTGTAACATCTTCTCCCTTGGGGCCAGCAGGGGACGGTGGTTATGGCAGCCGGATTCACAAGTGGTTATGGCAGCCGGATTCCCACATGGCCAACTGCAGTCCAAGTCCTGGACCTGGTGGCGTGAAAGTCATGCATGTGCCCAAGATCCAGAGAGGAGAATGGAGGAGAAGGGACTGCAGTGTGGCCATTCCCAGCCCCCAGCCCGGGGGGATGTGACTTCTCACTTTCCATCTCTCTCTCTCCCTCTCTCTCCTCTATAGCGAGCACACATATCCTATGGCAAAAACAAACAAAAAGAGATTCCTCTCAAAGTTTCACAAATTACAGAGGATTTAAATTCAAAAATCTTTTAAGGATAAGTGAAGAACGCAGTTAGCTATGTACCAGGAACTTTCTAAGCTCGTTATGTGAATCTAATACTCAATAGCGACATCACTCCTGCCAGGAAGGGAAACTATCCTTGATTTAATACATTATCTGAGGGGACCAGCAGTTGGCATAATGGCTATGTCGCAGCACTCCCGTGTAGTCGACCGCGGTTTGAGTCCCGGACCCGGTGGCTTGAAACTCACACCGGGCGTGTGTACGTGCGTGCCCAAGATCCCAAAAGTAGGATGGAGGAGAAGGGATTGCAGCGTGGCCATCCCCCCTGGGGGGTGATTTCTCACTGTCTGTCTATCTCTCTCTGTCTTTCCGGTGAGTGCGTGTGCCCTACCTCACGCAGAAAAAAAAAAAAAAAAAAGATAAACTGAGACACAGGAGACTTGGCCAGCGTCGCTCAGAACCAGTTTAACCCCCACGGTCTAGTTTTGGAGTTAACTTATTTACTGTAAGGGAGCAGCCTTATAGGGTTGGGGGTTTGGTTTTGTTTTTTTTTTTTTTAAGTTGTTAAGTTTATTTCTTCCATGAGAAAGAAAGGCACCCCCAAGGGGGTCTCAATGCCACCCCCAGCCACCTAGACCACAATCACAGGCAGACAGGACGACCCAGGGCCTAAACCTGGGGCCCTCCCGTGTGCTTCTAGCACTGCAGTGCCGTGTACCAGGGCAGCACCGCCGTCTGCCAGGGCTGGGTCTCCTACCGGGGTCCTGCCCCAGCGCTCTGACACCTGCCCTGGACATCACAGACGACGAGGCAGGGAGCTTTCACAGCCCAGGGTCAAGTGGGCCTGGGAGCCATTATTCGAGGATCCCCTGACCCACTTCGGAGCTTTCTAGGGGCAAACTCAACAGGGTAACCCCAAGAGCCTGGGAAGATCGACAAGGCACAGGGAGAATAGTCTGGGAAGGTGAGAGCACAGTAGTAGTTAAGTCTAGGGCCTGCAGGTGGCGTGGTGGTAGATGCACTGGACTCCCACGTGGGCAAGCAGGGTTCAAGTCCCGGACATGGTGGCTGGCTTTCTCACTTTCCCTTTCCCTCTTGCTCTGTCTCTCTGGTCAAATTAAAAATAATAATAGCAGGCAGCACATGTGTAATGGTTAAGGTGTTGGAGACCCACATGGCCGACCGTGGTATATCAAGTTACAAATAAGAACAATGATAATAAATTAAATATGTGTGTGTGTGTGTGTGTGTGTGTGTGTATACAAAAACTGTTCTCAGAAATGGACAGATACAAAGGCCCATGGCCTTTCCCTGTTTTCTGTGTTTTACCCCCAAATCCTAGATCCCTTTTCCCAACTTCTGTTACTAAGAAATGTGTCCCTGTCAACCTCTGCTCTGGCAAACTGTGATGGCAAAGCCTTCCTTAGTCCCCTCCCCGCGCTGCTTTTCCAGCTTCCCTTCCGACAGCCACAGTTAATCAACAGGGATCAGTACCGGGGGGGAGGGGGG